TATGGGGGATTAGTTAACGAATGATTATTCGTTAACAAAAGTCGCACGCTAGCTCGAAGAGGACCCACTTTCTCGCCTCACTAATTACGACAAAGGCAAACGAGCGGCTGCACCGGGGCTCCCGTCGCAAATAGAACAAGTAGCCGCGCCGTGCCTCTGCCTTTGAATGCGCGCTGCAAATTGCAGCCATCGAGTCGCGCGCGCTTCTTGCCGAAGGAAAGAAGACTACCACGGTGCAATCCGATTCCGCGCTCGGGCTAGATTGAAGCCCGACGACGTTATATGAGTTGTACCGAAAGCCCTCAATCTTAATGACAGCTTCTTTAACCAATTCGTCGTCGACTTTTTCTCACCTGAAACGCCGAGATACGCCAATAGCCTCTGTGTTAGAACTAATTGAAAATAGAGAGCCTTTCGCGAACGCGCTGATAGATACAATTAAATCCATTGTTCGCCACAAAGTTTTACTGTGCCCTCTGAGAATGGGATTTATTTATTCTTTTTTAAGGAGGAATTTTATTTCAAAATTTAAATATTTGAAAGTTTCATACCAACTGTTGAAAATTATAAAGGCTTCTCGCGATCTTTTCCCTAAAAAAAATTTACCTGAAAAATTTAAAGAATTTATAATTAAAAATAAAAGAGAATTATTCCACTGAAGGTATAATAAAAAAACCCAAAATTTTCATTAAAAAAGACATTTCACAAATTTTTATTAAAAGTAAAATAGAAAAATTAATTCCATTGAAAATATGATAATACGATGAATCAATCATTTTTATAAAAACTACAAGATCATATTATTACGTTTCTCTGAAATATATATTTTTTAATATTATCATATTTGATGAACAATCTTATTATTACATCAACGTAAATAGATGTGAATAGTAACGAAATGTAAAGCATTAATTTTCCACAGTTGAATAGTTAAAAAAAAAGAGATTTTCTATATTTTCATCTGTTTTTCAGGAAAATTTTCCGCTCGACACGATCTTTCATTTGGCAATTTCACGTTTGAAAAATCAAGCTTGAAATGAAATCGCACGATAATACGGAGTTAGAATCAAATCGCGAGTGCAGTAGCAACACAGTAATTGGGAAGCGGTACAATGGCGCAAAAGAGTTCGTTAGAGAGTTACGATGGTTAACGACGGCTCCTTGTCAATAGTGTTCCCACGCAATTTCTCACAAGGCGCAGCTTGCGAAGTTGCTCGCGAAGTTATCGCGAGAACTTAACCGCGAGAGTGGCGACCTTCTGCAATTCGCGAGAAAATAAATTTCCCGCAGCTTCTCCGAGCACGCGATAAACACGCGCGGTGACCCCGCGTGCGAACCTAAATAGACCGAAGATACACAAGAGTTACCGGAAACACTTTAAAATGCAAGCTCGCGAGCGAATAATATTACTAACAACTGCGTTTCCGTGATAATATGCAAATATTATGCGAAGACATAATTTCGGGAAACATTAATGTTGATACCATTTCGCGAACCTGCTCGCCGCGACCTGAAATGCAAAGCGACGGGATCGTCTTCCCACGACGAGCCTCGGTGAAGTAACTTCGGATAATGGAAATATCGCAAAATTGTACGATACCTACGTAAGAGAAAAATGCCGGTATTTTTCTGCAAAGCCAGAATTTTCTCGATGCGTTGCGAAGTACGATAACATTTTCGGATAATTGAAATCGATATATCTATTTTCCTGGATGAAAAAGTTTCGATGGGAGTTCCTACGCGCGCGAGTCATCCCGCGTAAAATACACCCACCGCATATTAAGAAAGTATTGCGGTGAAAAGTTTCCTTATCTAAAAAAAAAAGACCAAACTATCTAACTTCATCGAGAGTATAAAACTCGAAAGCAAAAACCCTTTTCCTATAACATTTTAAACCGACTCTAACATGTTTTTAAATATGCAACTGCGCCACTCTGCTGCAAAACATGCTGTATATTTCATGGATAGAAAATGCGCCGCGTAATATTTTATGCATGCCCTCATACGAGACCCTTTTTGATCACAAAATTTAATACGTCGTTGTTCTATCCTATTTTATACAATTGTATTATACTACTACATTACGCCATATTTTACATTATGGTAACACGGAAATAATACACGGAAAAGGTGGCTTCCGTTATAAGAGAGAATGTAATGTTGAAGAAAGACACCGCGTTCCCTAAACGAACGAGGAAATATTGGGCGATATCGTAAGACCGCTAAGGACGGTAATTTCGCGAAATTGCGCGACACTCTCGTTTTTTTACGTCGAACGTAATCTTTTAGTATGCGTGACGAATTTCCGGAAAGGGGAGGCACAACCGAGTCAAAAAAGGTAGTCGGGACGTTTCTTGCTCCGCTGGGCTCGTGCAAATTTAAACAAGAAGAAACCTTCCCTCAGGTTTTCGACTCGTCGCTGCTCAACTCTCCTCCTCTCTTTCTCTGTCTGTCTCTCTCTCTTTCTTTCCTTTCAGAGTTTTTATTCCCCAGAGAGAAGTATTAGTCGTCTGCGGAGTTCTTACACGTGTCGTTAACTCTAGTTTGACGTTTGACAAAAACGAAAATCAAGTATGACGCCTTCGGGGCAGCGTTTATTACCAAAATTAAATTTTACCCGAAATTGATGTATTTGCCTGATAAAATTGAAGGCGGTAAATGTTATTCTTTCAAATATGTATAATAATATTATAACATGATTTATATGATTGTTATATAATTAATATAATATCATCAAAAATCTCATAAATATTTTTCACATTTTCGTTATTAATATATCCATTTTAAATAGCTAAATACAGTATTAAACGCTTTATGCTTATCAAAAAGCATATTTCGGTACATTAGATACGCCTCAAATATAAGGCAAAACTGCAGAATTTCAGGAGTTTAGTTTTGCAAAATATGTAGATGGGAGTGGTTACGATACGAAGTTTGTTGCAAAAATTCAATCAAAGGTACAATTTCTTCGTCAGTTGATGTCGCCTGTGCAATTGGCCAGAAAAATGAATATGTAAAAGTCATAAATTTTAAAAGCCGCCAGCAGGATATAAAACACTTTGTTTTCACAAACGCAGTATTTTATATACCAACAAACATACAACGGCTGGTGATTAATCCATTACGACGGACAATAGAAGAAATACCGATTGCAAATTGTCCTGAAGCAACAACGGTTCGATACAAAAATCGCTGTCAAAAAGTGTCAATTATTATAACTACATATACTTAACACGCATCAACACAATTAGCTTTGTATACAATACATATTATATAAGAGAATTGTCATAATTAGCAATTACTTAATTCCTTTGTGACAAGAGGGATGCTAATTCGACGGTGTATTTTCTTATACGCTTTAAAAGAGATTTGCGCTTGCAATTTCTGGACTTAAAGTAGTGAGTTAAGCGCGTTTTAATAACGGCTCTGAAAGCGTAAAGACACGCGTCTCTGAAAATGCGATGACGGCGACAGTGTTTTCAATTTCGCGCTCGAGTGACTTTATTCTCGGGGGAAAAGTGTTCGATCTCGCGCTCCTCTAAAGCGAGGACCAGCGAGGTCCATTTGACGCATCGTTTGACAAAGGGATAGGAAAGAGTTCTCCTCGCTTCTGCAGGAACGGCGACTATCCGTCGTAATTAATTATTTACTTGACTATTTGGACGCATCTATCACTAAATCTCCGAGGTCGATGAGCAGCTCTCTTTGATCGGACGAGATTAACGGCGCATTTCCATCGCGTGATTTTCGAGTCGATTGATCTCTCTGATCGGAGACGACGGAGATATAACGTTTTCTCGTAAAACTTTGCAAAATGAACTGTCGAAACGGAGGGGAAGTTACGTGTCTTTCGCCGTTTCTTCCGGTACACGTGGAATCCGCGCAAATCCAAATGGAAGATCGAATTTCGAGCGAGAATTGTTCGATACGATAATCCTACTCCCTCTATTACAATTCCATCGCGACGCACGCTTCGGAGGAAAAATTCTCTCCCGCCTCGCCGCTCTTATACACGATATATATCGACGCAAAAGGATTACATTGCAAAATGAAATTCTCAATTCCGCTCGGGGAATTTTCTTTTCACGGAGAAGCTGCGTTTAAAGTTCGTGGGGCTTGTGCACGAGCTGATAATGCCCGTTTGACGTGGCTTGCGAAATATAAACACGAGTTGCTGCGGCGCGCGTTTCCCGGGCGCGCAATGTTATCTCCGGAACTAATTTTTCCTGAAAACTTCGCCCGTCGTATTAAACAGAGGCGCGCGCGCAATGCGGCTTTTCCAAATGAAGTTTCGGAAACTATTCAAGAAACCCGTCTACAGTCCGCATAAGGATCACGTCTTATTCTTTACCGCTCGACTTTTCACGCTAATATTAATAATCTCGCGTCTACCCGGAATACCGTCCAGAAGAATGTTGTTAAAGTTTGGACCGTTCTTGGAGTGAAAGTTTAAAAATTGCTTACATTCAGCAGAAGTTTATATACATATATATATATATATATATTGTATATATTTTTATTTATTTACTTCAAGTTTCTTTTTTTTTTTGTCAATTCTTAAATGTACCTTAAAACCATTTTTAAATGTATATATAAATATACATATCTAAAACGGTAATATTACGAAACATATAAAAATATTTTAGATAAATAAATAAATAAAAAGAACAAAATAGCCAATAATTCGAGTAAATAAGGATGAAATAAATTCTTTAAAAATAAATTCTTTATTACAAGAGATTGATAGAGTACTCCGTCAATCTTACTTCTTGTAATACTTCGTCAATCTTATTTCTTCTAATAAAGAATTTATTTTATTTCATCCTTATTTGCTCGAATTATTGGCCGTGTCTATTTGTCCTCTTTGTTTAGATTTCGAGCGGAAATTTATTTAACTTACGTGCCCGCGTTTCAAGGAACACACTTTAATCGAGAGTTTAAAGCAACGAATCTGTGCAACGTGGATTAAACGGATAATGGAGTCTGTTGTCTGCACTTACTTTGACTCATCTTGATCGTCGTCATCGTCCTCGGAATCAAAGAAGGCGTCGTCGTCGTCGGAATCGACTGATGTTTCGGCTCTCATCCGTCGCTGTTGAACTGCACGAGACTTCGGGATCACTATATCTCTGAAAAGAGCAGTGCAATACAATTTATGAGCAATTTATTTAGCATTTAGTTTAACGTGAAAATTTGTTATTAGTTTCTGATAAAACTGATTAGTTTTAAATGAACAACTCTGTTTTGTTGCTTGACAAAAAACTCATTTATTTTGCAATATTTGACTATGCTATTCTCTATAAAAAATATAAGATGAATTTATTATGTATTTAAAATATATAAAAGAGTTAAAGTATGTGATCTAAATAAATAATGTAGCTTTTCAAGTTGCTGTTTACCCACTGGGAGAATATAATAAAATATCATCGGATATAAGACAAATGAAAAAATTCCCTTCGTAATTATATTGTGGATAATTAGTAATCCTAGTAATGCTTATTTCTCTAGTTCGATATGAAGTTTCACAATAGTTAATGGAACAATAAAACAAGTCTATTTTTTGCTAGAAGTCTTTTTTTTGTTAGAAGGAAAACACGAGCTCGCGCGCGATGGTCCAACTTCAAATTCTAATTGTCCTATTTCGGGCTTTGGAAACTTTTGCAAGAGCAATTCAGACGCGCGCGATTTGCATAGAACCTACTTTATTCGATGAATTAATGCTCGTTATGAAGTTTCGTGTCCTACAACCCTGCCGAGGCACTGGAGATACCACGCCCTAGGAATTACAGACGCGAAGCGTGAATTAGCTTTGCGCGGGACAAAAATTAAACGGCCATTATTCGAACTAAACTCTACCGAGCTAAACTCCCGTTATTTAAGCGGCGCGCCATTCGAAATCTCCGAGTTTCGCCGACGTTCAGTTGGGTTGACATAGCACCCAGTTTTAGCACAATCAAATGAAATACATCCGGGAATTTAGTGCTTTTCTCGATTCGTCGCTGAAGGGATTGCGTCAACTTGGTAGATACAGTTTCTTGTTTCATCGTCGTGTTATTACTTTATCTGCTCGCGGCTGCGAGACGATATAATTGCATTTACGACGGCGAGTCTGTTATCAAAAGCAACCCTTCGTGATTATTTAACGTGGCGGTCATTATAACTTTGCAAAAAGTCATGATGTTTTCGTAGGAAAAGAAAATTCAGTGATGTCGAATTTTGAAATTTCCGAGATCCGATAATGTTAACTGATTATACAATATTTTATATGTAAATCATTTTAGAGATATTCAAAGAATTGTTAATTTTAATGATCATCTGCAACATTCAGTATGATTTTTAAAAATACATTTTGTACAGACAAAATTAGAAAATTACAATATTAACATTCACATTCATGTACGACATCAACGTTCACTTTCCACGAAGCAAAACTAATTTATCTCAATTAAACTAACCAATACAATGTGCATAATTTGGAAATTCTTATAATTATTTCATTACATCATACCTTCTCCAATAATATCCAATATTATTCTTGTTGTCTATTATTAGTTATTATTAGGATATTAAAAAGACTGTTTAATTATTTAATTACAAGCTACAGAAATCGCAAGGCAAATCGTTCAAGTGCAAAATTTTCATAACACATCGAGAATTCGATCGAACGCGGAAGTAGGATCGATGCGTGAAAGTGAAACTCGCTCCCCGATCCACTAGCACGGAATTAATCCCGAACGGGGGCATCGATTTATCAAGGCGAACCCATCGGGCTGCTTAGCCGTTAATGACGCATTAAGGTCATTTAATGTCGTACGGGGTGCTTCAAGATGAATGCCGCCGATCGTGATATCCGTACGCGGGATATGTACGCGCGCATACATCGTCCATGGAAATGTCCAATTATAGTTAATTGGCAATAAGCACCGCACGGGGAATCAATGATCACCGGGACGGCCTCAGTCGATCGGTTTAATGCCGTTTCGCGGCGATACGATATCGTCGTTAATAACGGCGCTGCTTAATGCCAACGTCGGCGGCGTACAAACGCTGAGAATTTCAACTATTCGACCCTGCGAAAATTGACGCGCCACGAGATCGGCGATGAAACGTGGGGAAAGTGAGAGAGGGAAAATCTATTTATTTTGATAAATCACTTTTAGCCGCGAGTAAAATATCAAACGATGTTATCGTTGCTAACGATTAGTAAATTTGGTTCAGTGCACCGCTCAACCGGAGGATTGACTGTTGTTGATTGGCTGGTGTTAAGTTATAAAAGAATGAAGATTTAGATAAAGACTTAAATTTAGCGAATAGAAGATAAATGATGCGCTAATAAATTTAAGCTTAGAAACGTTGGCTAATATGCGAAATCGAATTAGCAGTACATTCGAATATATTGCATATTTAATTGTCATAGTAACGGATTGTTAAATTTATCTTTGTTAGATTGTATTGTATTACATTTTTTTACTGAGATCTGTTAGAATTATAGATGGTTAAAATAATTTTGGAAGTATAGAAATATCGATAGCTTTCTCTAGAATCTCTTTTAAATTCTATGAAATAATTTTCTACAGAATTTAAAAAAAATGCTCATTAGCATCAATATTACTTGTCAATTTAATTTGTGAGATTACATACTCCGAATTCAATTTAGAGCTGTATTTCAAGACCAACAAATATTCGGTAACCAGTTCTGCTTGAATTGGAAATTATAAGATTCATGTTAAAATATTATTAAGCCGCTTTATATATGACTTTTTCTCATCTTATATCAGTACTAATATTGCACCTTATTAAAGTTCTTATCATTAAAAATATATACATAATATTTAATTTTTTCGTGCAAAAATGTTAGATTCAAACGTTCCCAGTAAAGAATATTCAACAACATTAATTCTGACTATAAAGATATTTTATTTTAAAATATCAATCCATTAAGGACTATCCCAGAATGAGATCGAATTCAATATTTACCCTGATTTGTGAAGCTCTTTCTTCGAGACGCAGACGGCCGTGAACGTGTCCTCCAAAAGGCAAAGTTCCTTCTTCTTGCAGTTGAGTGGACGACAAAGTTCGCCTGAAAAAAAAAATCAAAAAAATTTTATATTCTGACATTGTGAACGAAGGTACATTTTATCTTCTATCATTGATTGTTTTACAAAAAATAGGATCAGATTTACATACTAGAGATTTATATACGAGAAATAAATTATAACTACAATAAATATCTTCTATGCAGCAATTATTTGAAAATTTAGAGAGATTCTACAAATGTCTTTCATTTTCATTATTTTCCGTTGCGCCAATCTAATAAATTTTAATAAGTTATAAAATTAAAATTAAAACGCTAGCTAGTTATTGAGAAGTCAATCTAATTTAACGTGATATCAGAAGCAATCGCTTCGCGATAGACTCAATGTTTTATCTTGTCTTAATCTTATCGGACAATTCTTTCTTTTCAAAACATAGGATCCTTTCTGTCAATAATCGTTCTTTTTTCTTAGCGATATTATTCATTCTAATGAACACCCGAGAGAACCGATTACATGAACAATCCAAATGATTACGTGAGTTTAATACTTAGGATGTTCTCTTAAGATCTTGCACTGTTTATTTTTTATAATACTAGCACTATAAACGCGCGCTTCGCGCGCACTATTTAAATTTTTCGAAAATTTTTTTGAACCAAAAATCGAAAAATCTGAAAAGTTGGTACGACTGATTTGACCTCGGACAATTTTTTATATTTTTCGATTTCTGCAATAAAAATTTTAGGAAAATTTTTTTGAACCAAAAATCGAAAAATCTGAAAAGTTGGTATGACTGATTTGACCTCGGACAATTTTTTATATTTTTCGATTTCTGCAATAAAAATTTTTCCGAGAAATTTCTTGGGTCAAAATCGAAGAAGGACCATGTAGGAGTTGACCTAGGTCGATTTTTTTATATTTTTTTAAATAAAATCACGATTTTTTAAAAATAGCCACATAATTCATCTTTAAGATGAGCCTAGAAAGAAGTGTATATCTTTATTTTTCTGGAAGATATGAATTTTTAAACATTGGGGAAAAGAGGCTTCAACGCAGGTAACACGGTAATTTTAAGATAGGATTCTTTCCTATCTTCAATCAAATATCTTCTTATCAATTTCTAGATAATTTTTGAAGAAACTTAGGACTATCTTTTGATAATATTCAATTTAAAATAATCAAAATTGTCATTCTTTTATTCGAGTTTTTGCAAAAAACACGATTATCTATTTAAGAGTTACATCAATGACCTTCTGATCTTTTTGCAGTTACAAACTAAAAGAGTGTTTTAATTTCGGAGGAAAAAGGGCAAATAAAAATCGTCACGTTTTACTATTCTTTGTCTGAGCCAAACGAGCGCGATGGCAATTTCGTCGTTGCAGTTAAGCAAGCAATAAAGGAAAGTCGTGATAATAATGACGAAACCGATCGATATCGCTGTGTTAACCGGAGGGATTTTCTATCCGCGAACCGAGATGCGTGGATCCGCCGCGCGCGCGCCGTGGACGTACGTCGGACATCCGCCGCTCTGAGCATTTTCATTCGTCTGGAAATCGTCGGCAGGCGATATTGGTCGTTTGAGCGAGCATATCTTCTATATCTACTGTGCCCAACCGCCGAATCGGATTTCTCTCTTCTCCATTAACCGGCCCGGAACCGAGCACATCGTCGATGTCTTCTCCCGCTGTCCTCGCAATCAATAAAACGGTACCCCACTTCAACCTATACGGCCCTTTAATGTATGGCAACCGAAAAACGAGTACGCTAACGTAGAGCCGCAACGCTTGCGGGACCGTGTGTACTACACCTGATAACGTATTTCCTACCTCGAGGAGATTTAACGCTCTTTTAAAAAAGTGTTACATGCCCTAATCGTCTTATTCGCAAATAAACTTTCTATCGCATACGTATATCCTTTAAATATATTTAAGTAACCATAAAATGAAACATATTATTTTAAACGCTTTATATTTTTAAAATTTTATTTGCTTTAAATTGCTCAAACTGACTAGGTACGTGTTACTATGCATTGTAACAGGCTTACGATATTGTATGTATTATAGATTATATAATTCTTTCCTGATTCTGAACTATTTTATTTATTTGTCTTTTTCTCAAGCTTGGCAGAAAAAGGTCAACATTTAAAGTATAAGGAATTGTTTAAAATAAAAACTAAGAAATGTATTGTACTTACGCAATTACGTAATTATTTCTTACTTATAGATAACATTTTCATACGCATGGTTACTTGCTTTCATTTGCAAATGCAAGAAAGTCATTGCAATTTGGAAAATGAGCGACAATGGAAATAAGAAATAAATGAGTATTTGACGACAAGAGGGAGTTTTCGCATTCATCGTGAAACTGGCTAATGTCCAGGTAAAGTTGCCAACTTTTTGTATTGCACTATAATATAATATTGTAAAGAATTGTAGAGAGAGAATTTCATTAAAAAGAGTTACACTGCAATAAGTTTGTGAAAATCAGGTATGTAACATACATTATACTGCAAATTCTGACATTTAAATTAACTATTTTAAAAAGCAATTTTGTTTGTTTCTAGAAAATAAAAGATAACAAACGCTACATATGCGTGATACAATATTATCTTTTGCCTAAATAATAAGTAATTCATCTAAAAAAGTAACCTTAATAAAAATATACATAAAAAAAATTAATCTTATTCAAAATAAATTAGTATATCAAATATATGATAATAATTAATTAAATAATGTATGATATGTCACATTGAAATTTCGCTAGAAATATGATAATTACAATTCAAATGCAGCCCTAGACAGAATAGTTACATTATCATTATTATTGCTGAAATAATCGGGCGATTCAAACCATAACCACCATGCGCGTGTGCATGGTTACCAAATGGAAATAACCCTTTGGTGCAATCAATTTAGTCACTTTGCTTTTATGTAATTAGTTATAAGTTCATTTTCGTGAGCTTATTATTATATTACTTATATTATTATACCGTTATGACACAAACAACATTAATCAATACTGTTACAAACTCATGAAAGTTTGTTGGTAATATAGACTTCCGTGCACAGTTATGAACATCTATGAAGATCTTCACGCTTATGATTAGATCCTCAACAAAAGCAAATTTAAAAATGTATTGTTATATCTCCAAACAATGTAAAATACTATATTATAAATATTTTATATTATAGGTATGTGTAAAAATTTGTTTTCACTACTTATGTATCTTTTATATTAAGAAGACGTCACATAGTACTCCAAATTATATTTTTAAAAATTATATATATTAAATATATATAATTTTAATAAAATTTAATATTTATACTGTATATAATATTAATATATAAAAATATAATTTAAAGTGCTATGTGATGTCTTCTTAATATAAAAGATATATAAATATTAAAAACAAATTATATGTATATATACATAATTTATACAAAGATTAGGAAGAATAAACCGTATTGTGGATATATAGCTATAAAAATTCAAGTTTATTTTATATGATACATAAGCATCTAGGAGTACTTTATAGCGTGCCAATGTCGCGTAAAATCGCTCACTCTTTCTTCTCACCGAGCCAACATGCGGCACCTCTAGTGTAAAACAACCAGCGTGCCGAGAGAGAGAAGACTAAGACTGTCTTCCCTCTGGAGTGAGTAGATAAAAGAGGAGCTCCATAATATCCCATTCCGCATGTTAAAGATTTCAAAATATCCAATTAAAAGTTTCTCCTATGACGCGAAGCTTGTCTCCCGGCATGGTGGAAGTAATATCGCACAAACGGGAGATTCCGTCGGGTCGAAATTAAAGTCGACCCGTACATGAATTAAGAGGACTTGGACTCTCTCCTGACGGCTCAATTTCGTGGGATTACACGAGAAGGGAGAAGGTTGCTGTGCATGTATAAGTGTATGTACATATTTTATATATTATATATATATATATATATATATATATATATATATATATAACTAACTCGTCATGTTTCCGCTCGTCGCATATAACTGAAAACTTTCTCGCAGGCCGAGGAAGACACCACGTCCCTCGCAGCCACGTTCCTCGCGCAATGTTTGGAACGAGCGATAAGATCCAACATGCTACGAAAATGCATTCAAAACAAGTTAACAAGGAAAGAATCACGAACGACCGAATGCAGCGTAATAGGCGAGGAGTCAACCACTACTAAAAAAATGTACAGTGATTGCTAATTATGACAATACAACACATTTTATTGCTAGCGTTGCTCTTGTATTGCTTTCGTATTGTCAGTAATTCAGCAGTAACATTGCCATCTATTATCTCATGTATTGCCATCTGTTGCGCACAATATTGCCAAATATTACTAATGTATTGCTATATGTATTGCTATAGGTATACCTATGTATTGATAGCGTATTGCTAGTATTGTACTGCCGCAATACTAGCAATATATTTCTAAAGAAATATACATTGACTGCCATAGTGGTTGACTTCCCGGCAACAAGGTACGTTTTCTCCGATGCACTGGTGAGAAACCGAACGGACGAAACGATTGATGCAAATTCGCGCTCGTTGAAACAAAATTCATTAAAGCAAACTGTTTATTCGGATTTGTTCGCGCTCGCTTGCTTGGACTGAATCCGGCTTGGGATCGTCGCGATCCCGTCTAATAGATTGAACGTTACGCACCGCGGTTCTCTCGCGTGAAAGACGCTGTCGAGAAACGCGACTCGGCAGCGTCTTCACGCGAGGCTCCGAGCCGCGCGGCGAGAAGCGGATACACGTCACGGCGGAGGAGGCATTCGGTCTTCGGCAAGAAAAGCAGACGTAGAAAAGTGTTCAGTGTGTAAGCGTTCGTCGGCCGGTATTCGAGCGGTTCCTCTCTGAGCCGGATCGAACCAATCCGCCGAGCGTAACTCCGGATTTCGCGGCAGTAAAGTCGAGGAGTTTCGTAGCGGGCGGCTTTCTAGCCGGCTGAGAAAAATATTTAAGGTACTTTCGGAGGTGGAGCAATGGAGCTGCATCTCCCGTTAAAAGATTGCGCGGTTACGAAGGTCTCTTGAAT